GTGTGTGTGTGTGTGTGTGTGTGTGTGTGTGTCCTCACCTGCATTACTCCTCCAGTGTCCGTAGAATACAAGAGGGATGAGTGCACAAACCAGGAGGGCCAGGCTCACCGAGATAATGATGACCACTGAGGTGTCTGCAAACAGCAGAGAGAGACATGCCTCAGGGCCTCCAAGCAAAATAACACAGTCTCTGATTTCTCATCTATTTTTTTCTTTGGGAAAGAGGAAAGAGCAACAGTTATTTTTGTAATACTCTCTGTGTTCGAATGACATGTTGTAATAAACTTTGTAATGTAGCGATGTATATTTCTCAGGTTATGGGAAAAGGGTTGTAGTTTTAGGCCATACTTACAACTCCAAGTGTCTTGTGCTGTGGCAGAATGAAGCAAAACTCTACAGCCCAACTTCCACAGCCCAATCTAAACCTACGTAAATTGTCTGTACTGAATATGACAAGCCATCAGACAAATGTCAGTGGTGGCCATCTTCCACATGTTGTTTCTGTTCTGTCAATAAAACATTTTTACAGATTGATATCCAATTCACAACAACCTTGTCTGGATGGTGGTGCTATGACAAACATTTTAAGTTAAATCAAAACATTTCCCTTTCTGCAGAAGAAAGTTTAGAAAAAGCCTCCTGATGTCAAACTCACACAGTTTCAGTGAAGATCAGATTTACCAGAATTAAAAGAAATATATATTTGGGAGGAGAGGCTCAGTTAGAGAGGAGGGAGGGGCTACATTTTTGACCAAATTACTATAATAACATTACTTTGAAATATGTAAGATGTTCTTTTTTTTGTTGTTGTCTTGAAGCTTAGTGTAGGAGCGTATAGCTGCAGACGGTGACCTTTGAGTACCTGTGAGGTTGATGGTGGCTTGCTTGTTTGTCTTCTCTGTGGTGGGCAGCGTTAGCGCTGCGGGGGACGGCTCAGCTGTGGTTTGAAAGCTGCCATTGGGCAGAGATCCAGGAGATCCAGGAGGAACAGTGGAAGCTTTGAGAGAGAGTGGGGCAGAGGAAACTGTTTGTGTCTGTGTGAGAGCTCATGTGACATTGTGACTGCCTTATAAAGAGTGAAGAAGCGTCACAAGACATATATTATGAGTAAATATAATTTCAAACTTTTCAAGCAAACAAGTAGATTGTCGGCTACAAGGACACCCTATTGGGCTCAGTGTGTTTAAAAGCTATCTTAAAAGTTTATTGTAAAAGTATGATCAAAAGATATTGATCATTGATAAGGATAGTTTACATGATAATTTTTTGTGGCTTTTTTAGCCTACATGACAGAAAGCCTAGTGTCTAGAAGATGAGGAGTTGCCATGGTTTAACAATCCTTCAGTTCAGAAAACATAACCTCCAACTGACACATTGACCTTCATTAATTTCTTCTGATGAATGAAGGATTTGTTCCAGCATTTCCTCATAAATTCTCGGATGTTTTACACATCTATCAAACAGACTCACCATCTAGTACTATTAGATTGACCTCCTGGTACAACACCTCAAAGCTATTCTCCACTCCGCAGCGGTATCGGCCGGTGTCCGCCCTCTTTAGCTCCTTTATGGTCACATTGAAGACCCCATATCCGCTGTTAACCTCCATGCTGTATCTCCCCCGCCAGGTGACCGCCGACCTCTTGCCCTCCGACTGAATGAGACGGTTTTCCACGGAGCAGACTCCTCTGCAGAAGTACATGTTGTCAAGTTGGGAGACGCTGTCTCTGGTCCAGCCAACGGAGCAGTGGATGGATACCTCTGCTCCAGCATGGCCTCTTACCTCCAGCACTGCAGAGGTCTTCACCCATGCTACTGTAGAAGGGATGGGATGAAAACATTAAACACACTTCGCAATATACCACTGCTTCGAAGTTAATTGATTCACAGTGTCTGAGTGCCCACATTACCTACAGCTACAGCTACAGACCTACAGCTCACCATATATATTTATATATTTTATCATATTATATCTTTCTATAAAGACTGGAAACAAGTTAACTTAGCAGAATCTTTAAGATCACTGATGATTAATTAATCTTGCTTGTTTGATCCATAAAAAATAGCTAGCCCCTGTTATGTAAGTCTTTAAGCGAAGCCAAGCTATGCTAAGCTAACCAGCAACTGACTGTAGCTTCTTAATGAACAGACATCCAAGTGGTGTTGACCTTCTAATGTCACTGTCTGTGTGACATTTGCTTATATACCTATTTACACAGCACAGATATCATTCATTTGCAGTTATGCATCTGGTCACCTGATGAATTTTAGTCCAATACTTATTCTCTTTTAGCTCTATCTTTGGTCATTACCACCTCAAGGGAAGAATATGGCTCCTTAGCTGCTAAAGTGAAGATTGAAGAACAGTGAGAGTGAACATTGAAGCTATTGGTCGGACAGCAAAAAAAAAAAGAGCTTTATCTCAATCAAAACTTAAAATCAAGGAGGCTGCAGGAGATAAATCTGTAGGTCACCACAGCAGCTCCTCTATCATTATTTTCACATTATCATTTGATTTTATAAAATATGAATAATAGTTGCTTTAAATGATGGATGGAACATGGGAAGTTCATTGCTTCACACAAAAATCTTTCATTGTTCATTTTATTTTACTTTGATTCCACTTTTGTTTTTACTCTTATTTCACATTATCTAATGTATCTGCAATGACCCATATGAATGTGAAAAAAAAAATGTCCCCATATTTTTTTTAATATATTAAGTTTTTGAGTCAATTCAGTATCAAACCATTATATCTTTTACCTTGTGTGTTATTTTTCTGTCAATAAAATGTTCATAAATCAACTGCAGATTCTGTATGACTGCACAATTTCAGGAATTGTGTACGACAATCAGCACAATTTCAAAGCTTCTGTAGTGGATACATGAGACATTTTTTTTCTGAATATCATTGGTGCAATTTATCCAAAAAAATAAGTCAATGAGCATTGAGGGTTTTCTCGGTTTTCTATGGCGAGATGCATCAAAACTCACCTGAGAAGTAATAAAGCACAGCGACATGAAGAATCTTCATTCTCTATCCAGGTTAAAAAATGAACGGAGTAAAATGTAAAATTCAGTCCAGCAGTATCAATAAATTGCAGCAGCCCGCTTCAAATTTGTCATCTGATTCCGTGCCATAAAACACGAGCGTCTCGAAGATCTGGAGACGCTACAAAGATGTGGCTGTGCAGTAAATAATTGCAGCCCCTCAGTCGTCCTCAGCTTGTGTGATCAGTAAAGGGGCATGATTCTGTTTTACCATGCCTGTTAAGCTACTAACAGAGGACATACAATATTGTGTAGTTCTCCGGCCTTCTCTCTCTCTCTCTTTATCCTCTCCTTCGCTCTGCTCTGAAGAACCAACTTTGGACTGTGATAGAGTATTACATTTTTGGTATTTATCTATATAGTTCAGGCTGTTGCAGCTCTCTGTGCCTCTGCTCATTTAGTACATGAGGCTGCAGGGCATCAGATTCAACAAACAGTCTGCTGACTGTGTCATGGGTGTCAGAGGACAACCCGAGGGCTGTCCCATAAAGCAAGAAAACCAGTCCGACCACACTTCAGGAAATAACAGTTATTTCCAGAGACATTTATTTCATGGAACGGATTAAAGTTTGAGCTCAATAGCCAATGAAATGTACTTCCTACTTTCATCCTTTAACACTGGTTATAGGCTTAAACATCACCTTACCAGTCAGATATAAATTTCTCCTGTGGGACTGAAGTAAAGTCACTGTGGTGGGGAGTTCTTCACACTCTCCATTTGACTTGTTAAACAGGTTCCACTTCAATGCAGCGTTCTAACAGATCTGTAGAGAGACCCTGGTATTTGAACCTTTTGTGGGGTTGTTTGCATAATATGAGTCGATTAGGTCACATGAGTCACAGTGTGAATGGGAGTTAAGATGCCTGGGGAAGGATCTCAAGACTGCCTGATAAATGTTGTAGACCACCTCCCATTCCAGTTTGATGTCATTTTGCTGATTTTGTGAAGGTAACAGCTCCAGCCATACATTGAACCTGACAGACATTGGCTTTGACCCCCTCATGCAACTCTCATAGAATAAAAATGCATTTACATTGCATATTATATTGGATTTACACTTGACCCATCGGCATAGTGGTGAGTAGATAATGAGTGAACTTTCATATTTAAATGAAAATTCTTGAACTATCCCTTCAAGAATGTGATGTTAAGAATCTTAATCTGTTATTGAGCTAACCCCAAACCACAGTTAAAGTACTGTGCCCACATCAGCCCTCTTTTTTCTTTGACTCAGGTTGAAACAAGGTCACATTCAAAAGTGCTTTATTATCCTGTGGTGTGTGCCAGCATAGCCACACAAGCAAGGTATTGTTCTCGCCACAGTCTGTTTGTATGTGTGTGTGTACAAAATAACTTAACAACACACTCTCCTATTCCCCCATGCAAAGATCTACTACATCATTTCGGCCGAGTCTCAGCTTCTTCCACATTCATTTCAGGTGTTTCTTCATCCTGATGCTGCTGCTGCAGTCACACTTTGCTCTTATGGAAGGAGGCGGAGTCTAATGTAACCTGCCTGCTCTGATTGGATCAGTGAACCAGTGGCCCTCTTGTGATACATTACTTTGAAACCTAGAATGTCACCAATATTGAACAAGGCCCAACAGTCCCATTAAATTCAATCAAGCTGCACCAAATTGTACACACCCATAGATAACAGTTCCATAAATATGCCTGATTGTTTTACATAAAAAAACGTTTTTTTTGTTGAAAGAATTTTATGTCAAAGAGTGAAAAAACCCCCTCCTGGATCTACCCTCTAATTGTGAGCTGCACCAAAGTGCAACGGGTTCTTCCCTGACCTGTACCACCAGGTTTCATGAAAATCCATCAAGTAGTTTTTGTGTAACCATGCAAACAAACAAACCAACAAAAAACCAGAGAGGAGTGAAAACATAACCTCCTTGGCTGAGGTTGATATAAAAAGAATGTGTAACATGTAACACTGTGAATTGTAAACATGTAATGGAGAGGAAAGTACAGATGCTGATATATGTAGTAGTGAAAACTGGAAAGCACCCAAAAATAAAAAGCTGAAAAATGTAACATAAATGTATTTGTTACATTCCACCACTTGGAACGCAAACTAAAACTTAAATACACTGAGAAATTATTCATGATTAAATGGAAATGATGTAATCATAACAACACTATGAAGGCAGCATCTGCATTAACTTTTGCATCCAAGAGACAGAATGTAAACCAATCATTAACTAATCATCCATTATCATGACCTTACCCTTAGCATTGCATGATTGGGGTATATACGGTGTTGGACAGGGTGTTCATCAACACTATAATGCTTTTCATTTCAATCTAGAACACTTACATAACAAAATTTCATCACTCCCTGCGTGAGCTACGTTGCTAGTTGATTTTAACAACGAGTTTCTCTGAGCACAAATATTCTCTCCAGAAATGTGCACTTCTGAAGTATGTAAGTACATCAAGTGAAAATCTTCATTGCAATTTCATACAAAAGAATAAAACTTCTCAGAGAGAATCTTTATTACAAGAGTTCTCACATAATAAAGCATATATGTTATATATTATAATACACTTATTTTTCATCAAAATATAATCTATTCATTAACCAAACACCAAACAATGCTGGTAATATTTACATTTCATCCTGTACAGCTGCACTATTTCATGCTGAGCATCTTCCCACGAGGGGAAGAGTAACACAGTGCTGGACAGTGAACATACATCTCCCTCATGAGTCTGCCCTTTAACATCTGCTGTAAATTTTACCTAAATGATTCATAAAGATAATATAAAAATAGTTGGCAGCTTTGTGTAAGCAAGTCCTGAAGGTCTTTTTGTCTTGTTCAAGATCGTGGGATGACCTGAGCGATGGTGTCCCGGGCACTCTGACTGAGCCTATCTGGGAACTTGACCTCGTACTCCACTATGAGGTCACCTCGACGACCGGGCCGTTTGGGATAAGGCAGCCCTTCGCCGCTCACCCGCCGCCTCATCCCCGGCTGCACAATATCTGTCGTTGGCACGTTGACCGTCCTGTTGTCCAGTGTGGGTGCATTGACTGTGCAGCCACACAAAGCCTGATGGGATGGAGGGGAAAATAAAAGGCGAAAAAATATTAATTAAGATCATAATTAGAACCTAACAAGGATTTTCACAGATCATTTCCAGGTGAAAATTATAATTCTCAGGTTTACTCTTAAAGCAAAACTTTAATGAACAAAAAGGGATAAAGTTAAACATAATCTTAACTTACATCTCGGAGAGAGATCTTGGCTGTGTAAACGATGTCAGAGCCATCACGTTTAAACAGAGGATGTGGCTTGTCCTTCAACACAAAGACCACGTCAGCTGGAATGTTTCTGGGAGTCTCATCCCCCTCTTTAGGAAATGTGATTTTGGTGCCTTCTTTCCACCCCTTCTTTATCTGCACCTCCAGGATTTTATCTTCTGTCCTTAATGTTCGCCCGTCTGGGTTCAGTCGTTTGCGAGAGATCTTCATTTTCTTTGTGCAACCTGACAGGACCTCCTCCAAGGTCACCCGCAGATTGTGAACCACAGGGGGGTCCTGCTGCTTCTTTACAACACTACTGTGACCACCCATTCCTCCCATACCCGAGCTGAAGGAGCGGGGGAACCCGCCCATTCCACTGCCACCCATCCCAAAGCGAGCAAAAGGGTCGTCAGTGTCCATGTCTTCCTCCTTGCCCCCATTGCGGGCGCCGAAGAACTGTTCAAAGGGGTTACGCCCACCAAAGAACTCTGCAAATATGGCATGAGGGTCGCCCTGGAAGGTGTAACTGAAGGCGCCAGGACCATCACCACCACCAGCTGAGGGGCCTCCGCCTTTCAGACCTGAGAGAGAGAAACAATCATTTAATGTAACAAAATGTGGTATGTTACTTTAGAATGTTGAAATAGACTGAGGAGTGTCGTCCATGAGGGAGACATCCATTTACTGTGCTCACATATCTTCATGCTGTTAAATTTATCATTTACTCATTTGTTGCTGATACACAGAGCAAATATATACATGCAGATGCCATTATAATTCAAAATTGATGTATCTTATATGTTAAATCTAACCACTTGAATTCCCAGCGTGTAAACATCACCACCATAACCACAGTGGCAAAAACTTACAAAACCTACTGATATGGCTGTTGAGCTGTGAGCTATCGGCCTCCTTATTTCACATTTAATGTGGTATGGATGTATTACAACACACTTTCCACACAGGGATAGAACATGAGAACAATGTGAACCTGTGCAATGTTTATACCAGAGCTGCTGCCATGGTAACACCTACAACACTGCACCCATTTCCATCCATGACTCAAGTATCATACAGCAGGGGGTCTATAACTAGGGTCAGCGGACCCCCGAGGGTCCTTGAGGAAAGCCAGGGGGTCCCAACCAAAAAGAGGAAGAAGATTAACCCATTGGTAAAGTACGAACACAATGCATGACTATTGTGGCCCTGAATTTATACTTCCTGCAATGAAACGTCCAAAAGCAGAATTGCAGTGCATCGTGTGACATCTGCAAACAGTTAAATATATTAAGATGAGGATATTGAAGATAACAGGAGCTGGAATGGTGTTTTCCGCCCCACGTGTCAGGTCTCTGTGTATATGTACCACTGACTTTAGTGACGTCACAGTAAAAGCCCCTGCTCTTGCTTCAGATCGTTTCTAACTTCATGTAGAAACAAGTTCAGTGAGATCCAACTTTCCTGTCTCAACAACAACACCCAGCCCGGACTGAAGGCCTGGGCTGGGGGGAGCAGGAGGGCGCCATGACAGCCAGGACAACACGACTGTCTCCTGGTGCTGGTCCCGCGTGTCACTGCTGTTGTTATTGTTTCTGTCCGCTGTGGACATGTTGTTTAAAGTGTCACTGTAACGACCATGTTTAAGTGACTGGCTGATGAATCGTACCTTCTTCCCCGTAGCGATCGTAGATGTCCTTTTTGTTCGGGTCGCTCAAAACGTCGTAGGCTTCGGCGATTTCTTTGAATTTCTCCTCGGCTCCCGGTGACTTGTTCTTGTCGGGGTGATACTTCAGAGCCTGCTTACGATACGCTTTCTTGATGTCCTCCTCCGACGCTGCTTTGCTGATTCCCAAAATGTCGTAGTAGTCTTTGCCCATTGTGACCAACGCGCTGCTTATTCAGTGCGACATGAAACGTTCACGGACCCTGTCGGTGGAGATCAGCTGTGTCTGATGTGTCTGCCCGTCGAGCCCGGGTCTCTTTTTTTATAAGCCCGTAGAAACTTCCAGAGTTTTCCATAACCGTCCCGATCTGTCTGAGCTGTGACGAATCAGCAGGGACCCACCCAGTAGACCTACGCTGCCTTCAGGCCCTGTTGGAAATAATCCTCACAGTGACTCGCCGTGTCTAACATTAATCCCTCACGACACAGTAACATGGATCCGTGGCTCGTCTGGCGGTAATACTTTATTACTGATTGTGCTGCACGTAATTTTCTGTTTTAACCTCGATTCATTGCAATAAAAACAAATGTTGGACTTTCTTTGCAGTCAGCAAGTTGCAATGCAACATACAACAAATAAATCAAGAAAAGTCGACATTGGCCTTGTGCTCAAAAACTTAAAGAGAAAAGAAAAGAAGAGATCTGACTAAACCCTGCACCACACCACAGAGGACCTGTGGACAGACTGCTGGCAGCAGCTTGTGTTGTACTTGGGTGTGGCCCAGATTTGAGGCCACTAAATCCCCCTGCATACCCTTTGCTGTTGTGGTGCACAACATGGACATGTAAGGCAGAACCATGTGGCACGTCAAGGTCAGACAAAATAATCCTAAATCTGGCCACACTATACCCTTACTTGGATACACACTTAAGTATAAACAGTGCACACCATTTGGATGTGTTTTCAAAGTCTGTTTGACAGATTGTTGGGTAGAAATGATGGGCCACCTCTGATAGATGGAGCATGCTGTCTGCTGGCATTTACACACAAAACAGGTTGATCAGTTATACTGTGTGGACTGATCCAATTTATATAGCCAGTCAGACAAGACCAAACATCACAATTAAATATAAAATGAGAGACATAATACTGTAACACTGCTCTGTCTGACTTTAAATTTTGTTTTAAATAGTTTTCAAATACTACAGGGATAGTGTTCATTGATCAAGAGAGCCAGAGTTAGTTCAGCTCATTTTCATCTGTTGTCCATGTAGCAAGTTTTTACAAGGCAACCTGAAAAATGATATGAAATGACCTTATGTAATTAAAAATTTAAAAATATGTATTTTTGAAAAAGAAATTACAGTGTGTTGTTTAGATTAAGTACACGTTGGTTATGTCTTGACTAATGCAAGCAATTCAAAGCCTGGAAGTGGCTGTTTGAATCTGTACTGGGCAATTAACAAACTTTATTAGGGTAGAATGGCAATTACAAGGAAATAACAAATAGAAAATAGGCTATTTAAAGGTGGAATTATTATTTTATATTATTTTGTTCCTACATCTAATTAATAATGAACTATTTGTATCGAAGCATGCACTTATATAAGTAACTGAAAATCTACTTCAGCTAGAAAGTCTCTTTATTTTATCTGGACTGTTCATTTACTATCTGTTCTTGTCCTTTTATTTGATTTGTTGTCCCTCTTATTGTGAAGCACTTTGTAAATGTGTTTTGAAAAGTGCTTTATACATTTTTATTTAGTTTGATTATGGGAGTAAATAGACAATTTTGACCTTAAGCAGCATAAAAGAGAGGCAGAGAAATAGGATCAAATAAGAAAAGAAAACTTTATTTTGTTTGAGACTGAGGTAGACAAGTGATGAATGAATATTAAAATAAAGGCAATAGAATAAATTAAAAAAATAAAATGCTGTGTATGTGCATTATTTACACCTTTCATTGTAGTGGTTTGTATATAAATGTTATAAAGTAAAGTGCAGTGGCACAGGATGATTGCATGAGTGAGTAGAAAAAAAACATTTGTACATAAATATAAGGACATATTGTGATGGGCAGATGACACAAATGTGCAGTTATTTTCTGTTAGAAATAGTGCAAATAGAATGAATACAGTGACATGAGAAATCAAATCCATGCAGTATTTTACTTCATGTAGATAATGTTCTCCATATGTAGCCTAGATAAGAAGCTGAGCTACAGAAGAATATCATTATTATAATGATTGTATCTCTACAGTTAAAGGTAGAACTGGTCACAGATGAGCAGTTCGAGTTTGTCTTTGTCAGTCGGATCTGAAGTAAGCGCAAATAAATCCTATGACGTCAGCATAACCGTGACCTCTCCGCTTCCTCCAATCCCATTGGCTACGGCGTCGAGAGTGGGGGCGTGCTCGTCTGATTCCCTCCTATTGTGATTGGCTGTGATACCGGTTCGTCACCCGCCTGGCGTGGCCTCAGCAGACGTATATTACGCCTGTGATTGGACGTCGGCCTGTCACTCAGCGGAGTTAAGGAAGGGGCTGCGGAGCGCTGCCAAGATGAAGCACTACGAGGTGAGTGGCGTCAATGAAACTCTAAACCGTCAATGGCGCGGCACACGGAGCCAGACTCTGACCAGTCTCCATTGTTCGGAGCGTGTGTGGTTCTTGTGTGAACACGAGCGGAGCAGTGGCAGAGCTGCGAGGCTGTAAACACGGACAGGAAGCAGCGCACGCTGCTGCACCACCGCCGGGTACGAGCTGCTGTCTGACACAGGCCTACTGAGGCCGCTCGTTCACGATAAAGCGCCGTAATGAGTTAACTCATGTCACGGTGACAGCTAATGTGCACCCGCACGTATGAGGGATGAAGCTGCGTCGTGTATTTCTGAAGATGTCCACATGTCTCTGAGATAAATGGTCACCAGCATTACCGCCCCCTCTGGCTGGAATGAGCCACAGCGCTTCTTATCTTGTTATTACTCAATAATGCAGGTGAACAGTCAAGTGCGAAATCTCAGCCTGATAAAGCAGACCTCATGGATGAGGTGATTTATTATTAGTATTAGTATTAATATTAATATCATCATAACGGTCGAATCCTACTGAGCATTGGGGCAATATTGAAAAGAATGGCTTTCGAGTGTAAAGTCGAAATATTACGAGAATCAAGTCATAATTGAGAAAAAAGTCATAATATCACAGGAATAAAGTTGTAATTTAATGAGATAAAATCGTAATAATATTAATGATAACTTTATTTGTATAGCACTTATGAAAAAAAAGTTTACAAGTGCTTCACAAAATCCATGGCAAAAAATGAATGAACAAAGATAAAGGTATTCAGTTCATTTTTAAGCTCCACACCATACGATATTATCGTCGAGCCATTAAGATATATAGAGAAACCCAACAGTTCCCACACTGAAGAAAGAAAAACTCATTAACTGAACAAAACCTGTTGAACCAAACTCAGTGTGGGCGGCCATCTGCCTTGACCGCATAATGTTATGTTAATAAAGTTGTAATTTAACAAGTAAAAAGTCTTAATAATACAAGAATAGAGTTGTAATCTACTGAGAAAAAAGTCATATTTCGAGAGTGAAGTTGTAATTCAATGAGAATAAAGAACAAAAACAGGAAATAAGCAGTGGGAGGAACCTATGCTCACCCTCACCCTGACCCTGGATCCAAAATCTTGATTACCTATTTCATCGTTTCTTGAGAAATCACTAATCACCTTGAATATCACATAGATTGCAGTTGCTTTGGTACCAACCATCCACAAAAGAAGCAACTCCCTCCTAGTCTGTGCGATTCTTTCCTCAGAATTGACACAGTTTCTTTCACATCTGTCCAAAGCCCTGATATTTATGATACTGTGGTGCTGATGTGACAAAGGATTATGTACTTCGTTATTTGTGAAACCTATAGTAAAGTATAACTTGACAAGATGGTCCACGTTCCTCTTTTTAAAATTTTAAGTGACGAATGATCAAACATTTCTTCTGATATTCCCCATCTACCATGATACAAAGCCTAAATTTATATTATTCTCATAATAGTACGACTTTACTCTCATATTCCCACATTTTTCTTGTAACATTACAACTTTATTCTCAAAATTTCCGATTTCTTCTCCTTTAATTGGAACTAAAACTCTGTTGACAATCGAGGGATAAAAAGGAAAAAACTGTTGAATTTTCCCTGAAAAAACCCTGTTATCACTATGCTACTTACCCATTGTACTACTGCTAGAACTGAAAGTGTGTCTACATGTGAACAAGTGGAATTTCTTGAGCAGATGAAACCCATCAGACAGGATCTGAAGCAGTCTGACAGAAACTGAGAAAACCAGTGGCTGCTCTGGTTCCACTTCTTTCTGTCAAAAGTAACCTATGAGGGACAAAACAACATTGACAACAATGAGATACACTGAGTTCATTTTGACATTGATTTAAAATCAACATTGATTAAACATATAATTTAATTTGGATAAGAAATATCTTTATTTCATAACAAAATAAAACAAATAACACTACAAATCCTACTTGTTTTTCACACTCTACATCATTTATCATTCAGTCCTTGTACAGGTGTCAAACCTCAGGCCACTCCTGCGACCCTTAACCTCTGCTCGACTCACCTCTTCTATCCTCGTTTATCACTTCCTAAACTCTGTCACTCGTGGCTGACCTACCTGCATTTGAAAACTACTCACCTTGCACAATAAGCAAAATACAGAATCTGGCCATGGTACAAAGTTTTGCGGCTACAACACAGCTCGTTTAACAGGGTTACAAACTATGATGTAACACCATGCAGCTGTGTGAGTGCAAAGGTTTTTCCCTACAGTCTATGGTTTTTACGCATGTGGCCTGAGAAACTGAATGATTATGAAAAGATTTTGCATTAGCTGTTCAACAGCATTGTAAGGAGTCAGAAATGTGAGGCCACTTCAAGTCATAATATCTCAGCAACAACTCAAAAACCAAACTTTGCGGACATTATAAACTTGGTGAAAATGTGACACATTTTACAATTCAACTTAATCTGTCACAATTACTCATACTGCAGTTTTTTCTATTGAGAATATTTTTTCAATAAATGTGGCATTGGGAAAATGACATGACCACCAATTTTCTGTGACCTATAATAAGGGACATGCAATTTCCTCATTGTGGGACTAATAAACAGACAGAGTCCAATCAAAAAAAATTGAGGTCATTTTTGTAAGCATTTGACGATTTTATCAAATCAATTCAAACTTAATAGCACATCAGTGGATTCCTTTCATGGTTTTGGCTTTTACTGTTTTCTTTCCTTTTACAGGGTACAACACGTCAAGCTAAAGTTAAACAGAGATACAAGGTCAAACTGAAAGTACATGCTTAAATTATACCTTTTTAAGTTGCAATCTTCACGATGTCTTGCAACAAAAATCAAATAGCAAGTGTTTTTCATTCGGTCACTGTACCAGTTTATTCTTCGTTTCATTGC